TATAGGGTCATAAAATACTTAACTTTATTTACTTATTAAAAATTAAATACAGAAAAGCATTATGTTGTTTCCAAAAATTATCCAATCAGCTTTGCAACTTCAAAATTGCAAATGTACAGTAATGTCCATTTAGATTTTACCAATCCAATCAGTTTCTATGCTTGTTTCATATGCTTGTTGAGAGCTTAAAAGATTTATGCCAAAAACTATTGTTTTAAAAATACTTTCCATCTATGACTAAATATTTGTGACATTTGATTCAAGCATATACTTGTATGTATGCTGTATTGCCTTCTATCTCCATATGTTTATATATTATTTTTCAGTAAACAAACACAATTACTATTACTATCACTTTACCAAATGATAACCTTTATCCGATATACTCGTAAATAAATATACATAGAAATAAATATCAAAAATATATCTTGATATGATTAAATTCATTACAAGCTTGAAAAGCCAACTCAGTATTTACTGAAAATATCCACCACTCATTGACTAGTGAAGTATAAAATGACCTGCTTTATCCGTCATCAATCACACGAGTAATCACTCATTAATGCAATAATTAACGCCAACGGTGTCGGTAATTTCAGGTGTAAATAAATATTGTGAATAATTATTGAACATATGCTCGCGGGCTACATCATTATATATACTATAACAATCGTACTATACACAATTTTATATAAAATTTTTTTTCAACAACCCATATGCTATAATTGAACTTGGTCTGGAAGGTAGTAAAAGTATTTAACATGCAATTTTGATATGCTATTTACTTTCATGCTTCAACGAGCCGAATTTGGAGTAAGCTGAATTAAATAAGCGGAAAATTTATTATTAAATAAAAGCGAGCATTAAACTACGTACTACTAAGTTATATTATTTTCTTGTTATCTTTGAGCTCATACAAAAGAGAAACGATTACCAATTCAGTACATACACTTACTAATTCATCTCTTTACTCTGATTTTATGGTTTAAACAGCTTGAGTTGTTACAAAAAAGTGAGCAAAACTACTATACTCCTCTGAAAATTGGAAAAATATATATAGCTGTCTGTGAAATGGAATGCTATTGGGCTACAGAAAGCAACTGAAAATTCTCACCTCTCTAACGATAAAAATAAAAATATTATCTTGAGCTATTATGCCATATGTACGCTTATTGAAAATAATATAAGCAATCTAGTCGTAGATTACGAGTAGTATTACGTACTACAAAAAATTATGAAACAAATTAAAATTAATTTTTCTCATTTTATAGAATTCCCTAGTGCCGTTTGTTTATTGAAAGTTTTTGCTGGAACGGTAATTACCGTAACCATATTGAGTTATAGTAAAAAAAAATTAAATGTTCATGCAATATATATTGTCGAAATAAAATGGCATTAAAATAATATTGGCATGTTTAATCCTCACTACTTTCTCCGCGTATTAATACACACATGCGTATATTTATAAAAGTGTAGTTCCAGGTAACCGCATATTGAAGAAACATATAAAGTAATAAACATTTAATGAGGACTGATCAATATTCTGATAAGGAAAAAGCAACTACAATCAAAATTTTTTGTATGACCATTTGGTTTTGTCCGATACGGTTACAATGCAATTTCACCCTTTTTAAATTCAACTGGACAGCGGGAAATCTAGATATTCATTAATTCCCAGCAAGCTTTCTAGCGGTTAAATTATACGTTAATTACTAACGAGCCCTGTCTGATATTTCTGTCAAAATTTCTATGAATTTCTTAAGAACGAAAAGACAAATATAAAAATAAAATCTATAAATCTACGAGTTAAGTTGGGAACAGAAGATTTCTTTTTTCGCAAATTGTATTTTTTCTTAATCAATGAAATTAAAGCGTTCATAAATGTTTTTATTAATTAATTAATTTTTTTTTTCAACTAATATTTTAAGCGTTTGTAAGTCTAAGTTATTCAAGTTGCTTTGAACGTCAAAGTATATTTCTTCCATGTATAGTAGTTTTTAAAAATCTAATAAGTGATTTTGCACGCTTTATTTAACAAAATCAAAATGAAACTGGAAACCACAGTTATAGGAGTATTGAATTTCATAGAACTTGCTCAAACTAATTAATGTACATTTCTCTATATGAAAGCTATATCAATGAGAGTTAGTGGGAAAGTCTCTCTCTCTGAAATGAAAAAGTGTTAAATCCTACCCCACCCCCCATACGAAAGTTATGTTCAAAACTACCAAAAGTGAGAAAACTTTCTAATGAAAAACATCAGATGCATTAAATTCGATCGCAAGGATATTACAATAGATCTGCGTGGTTCAATAACAGTAAACAATATAATAAATATATGCATCGGTGGTGATCATGCATAAAAACGGTTCAGTACTTTCCTAGCCGCTATAGCTTATCGGTTCCTATGTAAGATCTCTCAACAAACTTAAGTGGAGTATTACCGCGGATGTACTGTTCGCCATAAATTACTCTAGCGCACATTACTAAATATAATATAATGATTTTAATTGTTTTAGTAGAAAATAAAGTTGACAATGAAGAATACTGACTCTTTCGTTCAACTAGACTACAATATGATATCATTGAAATTTGAATTGATTGATAAAAGAGATGTCGAAATATATATTTTTCTTAAAGCCATACAGACCAATAATACAAGCACCTCTGAACTGGAATAGTATTTTATTTATATATTATTTATTTATTAGAAAATAAAAGGGTTTTTCAGAAAATTTGTAACTAATTTCTACCCAACTGTAAAGCATATACTATACGCAGCAACAATGCGGGTAAGACTGGGAAATTATGTTTTTGAAGTGGAATGCATTTAACGGCCACTCGAATAAGGGAGATCTCGTGCCTTAAAGTTATTGCGACTTTATTTCCCCATTAGTTGCATGCGTCCAAATGGTGATGAATGTAAATTATGTAGTTAGGGTTGCTATAAAGATAAGATATTAAATATACATGGGCTTTGGTCTAACTGTGATCTCGACGTGGACTTAAATCAGTCATGTATAAACATTTTATTTATTAATGATTTTACTATATGTAATGTAGTCTAAGAAAATAATTATATATAAATCCCCAAAAATCTTACTGGTCGAGTGTGGATTTATCTGTCACTCTGGATGACAATAACCGGGCAACCTAGTATTACATGTATTTAAGGTCTTGTTTGATGTTTTTCCCGTCATCCTTATATTGATATAGATTGAGCGGCAAGAACTTCGATTTGGTTTTCAAGGAGCATTAGTTCAAAGTTCAGGATAGACTTGGTAATGGTTATCTCCATCACTTATATTTCCGTTCACTTATATTTTCTATATTAGGGCGTTACAATCATCCGTTATGTGAACGAAATAATAATGCTGCATCCATTTTTCACTGTGTAGACCTATTTCAAACAACCATACTTTTATGATACTATTCTTGCTGCCTTACGAGCATTTTCTAAAAATATATATATGCATAAAAATTTATTGTGCTTTTTGCGTGTTTTGTTTATATACTAAACTGCTTTGAGGGCTGTGTACTTGTGTCTATACAATAAGAACAAACAGCTTTCAATAAAACTCTGCTCTATTTAAGTAAGGACAAACTCGAAATGTCAAGTAATACCGTACTACATATAACAAGGTGAGTCAAATTGATAAATATATATTAAATCTCGTGTTTAGATTTGATAGATTTGTAAAAGATACTCTTAAGGTTGACATTTAAAATTCAGTTCGGTTGATGCTGTGAGTGATGATTGCCTTGGCATATGTTGAAATAAATCGAAAATTTAAAGCATATAAAATAAAATATAGTTTCTTTTCGAAAGTTAAATGTGAACTTCGTTGTAATTATCATTATAACTAGGCTAGCCAGTGGTCCAAATTCGACCAATAGAAAATTAAATTTATTAACAATATAAGTAGTATTTAAATGTTATTTAAGAATTTGAACAAAATGTGAACAAAATCTAAAGAAAGTTGTAGAAAACAATTTAAAAAAATAAATAAAAAAATAATTAAATTTATAATTCATTCTCATGCAACGTCAGTTGTTCCGTTTCTGGTTTGGCTTAATTCTTCCTTGAATGAACAATCGAATAAAATCGTCTAATAATTTGAATTTGCTGTCATATGTGACCACGGATATACGTGCGAAAGGATGCCAAAATAATTAGTTTAAAATATTGTTAAATTATTTGAATATGAAATACCGATGAAGTCCCGAACTATTGTTTCATTTTGAAATCTTTTCAACAAAAGCCATAATCTTGTCACTTCCTAATTCGTTGTTTTTGTTGATATTGTCGATTCGACCAACTCCGTAAAATTAATCTTGGAAAATTGTTTTTCGAAAAATTAACTATCACGCAATGCACTTGAAATTAATCTAAATTAACTGACCAAAATAAAACGAATGATATCAAAGGTTGTTTCCACTTCAATGTGTAATTTTTTCGGAAATAATGGAAAAAATAAATTTGTGCACTTCTGCACGTCTTCTCCTTACCAACGTTATAAATTTTATCCATATATGTCAACGGCAACACAGTCAAAAAGAGAGCACAAACTTTTTTGTTGGCATAATTATATGTAGATTATGCAATGGATAGCTCAATATTTGGAATAATCATATCAAACTTATATTCGATATATTCTAATATTTCAGTGAATTTTATTGTAATAACCAATAAATTTAATTAAAATTTAATATTTTTGTCATTCAAGAACTAAGATATATTGTAATTGAAAATCACACACAAATGAAAATATGGTTTCAAATTTCTTCATTTCCTGTGATTTTTCCCTTTTCTCTTCGGGTTCTTTATCGATTTGTAGCCTGAACTTTACCAATTTGAACTTTTTTATTAAAATGGCTTGAAGTAAAGTTTAGAGTAAAATTGAACTAAAAATATTACCTAATATACTTTCACTGACCCTGTGGGAATTTTTTCAAGAAACAAGCGATATTCGTTGAAAATTAAATCAGCAACCATAAGCTTTCAATTATACATACAAAATTCAAGAAATATAGACAATACTACACTTCAATAATTTATTTTTCTGCAAATGAATAGAATTTGAAAGTAAATAAAACAATTAATACTTTGATTTTCAGATATTCGTTTATGCAAGACAAAGAGGTATTTGTTATGTGAAAAGAACCGAATGTATCTTTAATAGTATTTCCGGCTGTTTCGCTGATTTGGAAAATAGGTTTGTAGTGTTTGGATGGACTAATAAAGGCTATATCATTTTCAATGCGTTATCATCAGCAACCGCTACATATAGATGATTTTAACTCAATTGAGTGAAATATTTTATTCTTGCATAGAGTCTGGGAAAACGTAAAAAAAATTAATTTCGGGAGCACAATGTCGTCGAAAAGAAATAAGGATTCATTTCATTGTTAGAAGAAAAAAGTTTTTTTTATTGAATAAGTAATCTACACACATCTGTATCAAAAGAAGAAAGAAGTAAAGCGAGTAGTATATACCAAACAGCGGAACATATGCAGGAGGAATGGAAATTTCCACATCAGGTATCTAAGAAATGAATTTGGCTTGGATTTTTGCCAACTTAAGATGTCGAATTCTTTCGTAAGTAAAATTGACTGCCAGAAAACTTGTTCCACATTGGAAATTCTGCTAACGTTACTTTGAGCAATCGTTATTGAAGTTATGTTCGCTTTTAAGATATGTATTTTGCTCAAATACTTCAGCTGCTGCTTAGCCAATTGAAATAAATTGCATCAAACGCATAGAAATGAAATTGAGCAATAAAAATTTGAATGAACATTATATGTATATTATTATGACCACTGAGACCAAAACATCTTAACATCCAATGGAACAATACTACAAAAAACATTGAAATGAAAAATACTAATAATAATAACATTGACAACAATGCAAGAGACTGAAGGTAAAAAGTAGTTTGATTATTCGTGCGTTTTCAAAGCTGACTGTTGGCAGCAAAAATTACATCATACGTTGTTGATTTAAACACCAGGGTTCTGAAAGCCGAGCAAATGCCTTTAATGGCAATACACGGTTGCTACGGTGGTGGAGCCTTTTCCAAAAGAAATTCAGAATTTCTTCTTATTGAATAAAGTGAGAAGTGCAATGAAATACACAAAAAAAAAGCAAGTGAAAATAATTCACAAGTCAATTTTAATGGAGCTTTCTGGCAACATGACATTTTCGGGTTATCAGAGGGTCAATGTATGGTGGAATGCTGCGGGGATCTTTGTAACAAAGTCACAAGGCAAGTAGTCATAAATAGCTCAAATTTTTACGAAAATATTGATGTTAAATTTTAACTAACGAATGCAAATGACTATATCAATCAAACTATACAAATATCTATAATTTCAACTTCCAAATCCTATAAAGCTAATCTAAATATTCTGTCATATAAATAAACTCAATGAAACGAGATTTAATATATTGGGTATATGAGGGAAGAGTCAAAAGTAGAGACGGAAATTATTACATTTGGGATATTAGGACTAGGCGGTGGATTAGACATTGGTACATATTTCATTTACTTTTGTATTAAGCTTAAATATAGTTAATAAAATATACTCCTTATTAAGATAACTCGCCCACTGACTGACATGTTCGGCATTACGACTTCGGTCCTTTATAGGTATAGAATCAATTGACTTAAGCGCCTATTGAAGTCTTCATTTGACAAATGCAAGGAAAAACGTTTACCAAAATTTTGGAGTTTTCTAGCCCGTGATTTGAAACCAGATGTAATTGCAAACGGACTCACACATTGCACATGCACCTAAACAGATATCAATGATATTATTCCAGTATAACCGAAGTATTAAACGTAACATTAGATAATGTGTTTGCAGTAAACAAAGTGCCATCAAGTGGAAAATGCACATGCAAAAGCTCGAGTACAGCCTCTCCAAGGCAGCCGTTGTGGCACCATCCAACAATAACAACAACAAGAGTTTATGTGAACATACTTATATGTTTTTAATGCAGTGCATTATTGGCATGCTTAAGATAAATTTAAGAAAATATAACTTCTAAGAGAAGGTATGAGCTGAATGCATTATTATGGCATTAAACTATAGCGTGCTAGCGTGCTATAGTTAGCCAATTTTATTAAAACAATTTACTTTTGACCAACACATGAACATAATGGAACGTTTTATTTAAAATTATGATGAAGGCCCTAATAACGGCTTGCAACCCAACTAAATTTTGCTTGAAGTTTTGAGATTCGGTATTATCTTTATCAACTCAATCCGTCAAAACACTTTCGGTTGAAATGTTGTCAAACTTAAACCATTTTTGGTTACACGGTTTTAACTGCCTTAAAATTGAGTGGAGTTAAGAATATTAATGAGTTCAATGTCATAAGATGAAAAAAACTTGAATGTATAATAACTAATGCATAGGTAAAACTCTGGAATAATGAGCTCTTACCTGGTTTAAAAACACATGAAAGAGTTATCAGGTAAAGGAAAAATTTTGCTGGCGGGTATATAAAACATATTATTCATACTTTCATGATTTTATAACTGAGATTACATAAACTATAAAATTTCGCTATTTCGATATAAGTCTACGCTCCTGTTCTTTTCGAAGAGTATTAAAAAGCACAGTTCTTTATCTGCTCTAGACTTATCTGCTCTGCACTGCAATAACAAATAAATAGTCTCAAGTGAAAGCTTTGTGTGTAAGAAGAGAGCAGTCAGCATAAAAGAAAAGATAGAGTAAACTAACGAAAAACAGTGTCAACTCCATTTAAATTACGACGTACAGCAGTAAGAATTTCATTAACAACAACAGTTGACAGCGTCAACACAATTTCATGAGCATACTTGTCTATTGTAGGAACTTATCCGTTTACTAGTGTGTGAATAATAACCAGCATTGCCGATTGTTTGAGGTAATTGACAAAATGCAGCAGACAGAAAGGAAATTCCCAATATTTCGTTTGCTCGATGATAAAACTACCATCGTTTTAAAAAATTTCAGAAGAATTGAACTGTGTTGCTGTAAAATAAAATGAATTCAGATGTGACTTTAATTTTAGTGCTGAAACTACCATTACAAATGAAATTGGAAACCATTAAAAGCTGAACTCTCTGTCGATTTCTTCGCACTTCATTTATTGTAGTTAAGGTATTTAGTAAATTTATATTCGGAATTTCTTGTTCAGCTTCCCATATATAGGCAGAAAGTTTTATGGAAAGCAAACACCATAGCTTAATGAGCGAACTAAAATTTTAATAAAATATTCAACTCTGTTTTAATTGCTTCCCATATATTGAATATCTTATTTAAAAGTTCATATACACTACATGTGTTAGCATCAAAGCTCTATCGCTAAACATAAAAATATTTCCATTGGTTTTGAAACAATTAAGTGTACTAGTATAATGAAGCACATGTCAAACATAAGGCGAATCAATACTTCTATTCAAGAACGAATATATAATATATCTGTAAGTACTTTTGAATAGAGAATTTGTATTGGCGTCATTTCCAATATCAACCTATCCAAAATATGTGTATGAGAAAACTCATAATAAATTAACTAAATAATGAATAAAACGTTTTGTCCTAATACTCATTCATGTTCAAATATTATTAAAACACTAAAAAGTCAATCACATAATTGAGTAGCAACAAATTGTGGAATTACAGTTGCACAACGCATATGAATTCGCGGGAAATATGCAAAAGAAAAGAAACTGCCATGTTTTATGATTCGACGAATCCTTGAAAACATACGGTTTTTTCGTAAATGTGTATTCATGTCAGCTTATTGCATGTTGTTATATAGTTTACACAGCACAGAAAGAATTATATTATATGACACGATATTTTCAATAACCGCAAAGTGTTACAGAAATAGATTAAACTATAAGCTTTAAAAATAATTATGACAATACCAATATTTTTATACTCTCGCAACATATCGCTACAGAGTATAATAATTTTGTTCACCCAACGGTTGTTTATATCACGTAAAACTAATCGTGATAAATATAGAATTATGTATATATTACTGTTCAGGATGATTATAGAAATCCATGACTAAGCTCTACAACAAGATACATGACTGTTATTTAGTACAACGAATTGCAATAAGAAGGGGTTCCTCTGGTAAAAATTTTTTTTTTTAAGTCGTAAAATACTGCACCCTCATTCACTCAGGGCAAATATTTTTGGCACATTACATTTTCTACATTGTGAAAATGGATGAAGTTATATTATTTCTACATTGTGAAAATGGATGAAGTTAGATTATAACTCCGCCCACTCCCCTTGTAATAATTTTTTAAAAAACTGCAAAATGCGCGATAAATCAATAACTAAAAGCGTCAGAGATATTGCTTTTTACAGCCGCGATGTTACAAAAGGGCCGTTGTCAAATTTGGACGATGGGCGTGACACCACCCACCCATATTTCAGAACCTACTCGACCAATTTCAACCAAATTCGAGTTACAACATTATCCGTAATCATATTTCCATTTTACGGTGCGAAAATGGAAGAAGAAATCAAACTACAAACACGGCTACTTCCCATATAACACAATTTCATCTGATTCTTTCACTTCCATATATAAATCAAAGAACCAATGAATATAACGGGATAAAACTTTGCACGAATAGTGCCTTTGAAAAGTGCCATCTTATAGCCAAAAATTGTCCAAAGTGGACTAAAACTATTCAAGCCCCCGAGTACCGAATATGTGGACCCCAGTTCCTATTGCGAACTTTTTAATACGAACTGTGAAATATATTATAGTAATTCGGAGAGAGTTCTTTTCTGATAACATTAAGCCTGTATGCAAAAAATGACTTGAATTGGATCAATAGTATTCTTACCCTCATATATCTAATAGAAAGATTTTCGAACTTCCGTCTAACTTTATACCGCATATTTCAGTCAATATTTGAGTTATCTTAGTAAAAGTGCCTGGACGTGTTTTTCTAATAATAGTCTATCTTTGTACTTATAATGGATACCATCGAGGGAACACTTGCCTTAGACCCCATATAACTAGCATCAGGATTTTTTAAATATCACGTAAAATAATAAAACAAAGTTTTGTCAACACCTGAAGGTATTTCCCCGGCTTTGATCCTTTCAAGTTGCAAAAGTCTAAAAGGTTCGGTTACACCCGAACTTATGCCTTCCTTACTGGTTTAATACAAAGTTTTTCAATATCTGAAAATATTTTCCGGCATATGACCTTTCCAAATTACGAAAGTATAAAATCTTCGGTTAAACCCGAATATAGGCATGTCTTACTTATTAACTTCACTTCAATTGTGTTTTATCTGATGAAAAAAATTTGCCACTTGCGAAATTCTCGTACTAACAAATGAATAAAAAAATTGCTAAAAAAGTACAAATTTGATCAGTTAACATGTGACTAATATATTATTTATAGACAGATGTGTTGATATTGTATTTCGTTCTAGGGTGTTTGTGTACCCTCGTGATTCGTGAAAATGCAGGTGTAAAATTATAATATAAATAATCAATATAAAATTAATTTTATTTATTTAAATATTCAGTACACACACACTATATTTTCCGAAATTTTTTGATATGAAAAAGCTGGTAAAATGGGTAAACTTTCTGTACCGTTGATACTGGTGTAATATTGCATTTTGTACATTTGGTATAATATATTTATTTCAATATATGTTTCCATATTTAAAGTTCTTTGCCACAACATTTTTTGGGTAATATGTCTACACACATGCGCATCAATATATCAAAGAGGATATGTCCGAAAGTTGTACTCTTCTTAATATTATATTACCGAAAGCTTTACTATATAGGCCTTTTTGGGCATACAAATACGCATGGGCTAGAGGCTAAAGACTCTGTTCTCTGTGAACTAACTGATATTATATACGTATATTCATTCCCCTTCTAACTGTACCACAACGTCCCGAGTAATCACCATATGGCATATATTACCATTAATAGCAAAGAAAATGCAATTTTTGCAAGCACGTCAAACCAAATAGTTTTTCTCTTACTATTTTTCATCATATGTGATGGCATGTCTTTGCCATTATGTCAGAGGAATATCTTGTTCCAGAAAAAATATTACCCAAAAAGTCATTTGCATGTCCTAAAGACTGGAAGGAAGTAATAGCCAGATACCAAACAAAAGCAAATAGGTATATCAAATGCAATTATGAAGCACACATTTTGACACCTCGTGTGTAGCAAAAACGGCTAAATTGGGCAAGAAGATAATCGCACACGCCACACGAATGTATGTAAATGGTTCAAGATTTATAGTGGATAGAAGAACATGTTTATGTACATACAAAAAGCTGTTTTACATAATTAAATGTTTACGCATACCTTTGTACGATAGGGCAAAATACTGTTCAAGCAAATCAATGGCTTGAAAAGTGTTATGGGGATTCCGCACCATCAGAAACCACAATAAAACGTTGGTTTGCTGACTACAAACGTGGTCATAGAGACATCAATGATGCAAAACACAGTGGGCGTCCAAATGAGGTTGTAACACCAGAAAACATATGTTATGTTATATTAAATTTTTATATATCAATTATTCTATGTAATATTTCCGATGTTGAATAGGTGAAAGCAATTGTATATCAATGTAGATAAAAATCATGTAATATATTAATAGCTTCCATTATTTAGATTTCAATTTTATTGAAAATATTTTATGCGAATCGGATCAGACCCAATTCCGGACATACTATATACATACATGTCTACCAATATGGATGATGTGATTTTGACAGCTCGTGGCGGTCTAGCTTGTTTACCAAATTTTGTCAGTGTGTTCTGTAAGATTGAAAATTGTCCGAGATTATTCCCCAAATTTGGGTTCTCCCATGGCTACTATGAGAGCTCTTCCTGCAAAACACGGTTGTTATAATGCTTCTTCTGAGGACGCTAGTCATTATATAATTGCAAAACTCAAAAACTAATATAATCTTCACGAAAGTGTGACACATTCTCGTCAAATAAAAGCCCATAGTGAAGGAAATATCGCTGCCATTCTGGCCGGTGTTGAGGCCAATCCGAATCAGTCGTTTCAACGTCGTTCTGCACAGTTGGGTCTCTCTCCGCTTACAATATGGCAAATTTTGCGTTTTGATTTGACTCTACATCATATAAGATTGTGTTGGTACAAGAACTAAAGCCGATAGACCATTTGAAGCGCCGTTGTTTTTTCGATTGGGCTCTGGAAATGATGGCAGTCTATAAGGCTCGTTTCTGGCTTAATGGATTCGTCGACAAACAAAATTGTCGCTATTTGGCGCGAGTAAAATCCTCGGGTGGTTCATAACAAAAAAGGAACAGAA